ATGGTGCAGGACGAGACTTACTTGTACAGAGGGTAGATAAGAGCAAGTAGCAACACAATGACACCCAATAACAGCAGCATGTCATGAAAATCTAGCATCACCCTCAGATTATTGGGAAAAGGAAGATAAATTCAGATGATTTTTCAGATAGTTGTGGATGTTTTCCTTTGGCAATATACCCAAACTTTTGATAAGTTTCTTAAAGGTTATTTGTAATGTGAAGCTTGTGGCAAAAAAACTCACCACTATTGTGTTAATTCTGCCTCATAATAACCCTATGGACAGAAAGAACTGCTTTTGTGGGTTTCTGAGGGTATAAATCTTTATAGGCTCAGAAGGCCTCATGCCCCATCTTTCTCCCGGAGTAGCTGGTAGCTGCTCAAAACATAACCCACTGTACCACCAGCGTTCCTGATGGGTGTGGACTCCTTTTAAAAGTAGCTGTTTGATTATATTCTTCAGAGGTTAATAATATTTATTGCTACATTTATAATCTAGCTTGTATGACCACTGCTTTTTTACATGTGAGCATTTATATGCCCTGGTAGCACAGTGGTTAAGTACATAACTGCTAACCAAAACCACCGGTCTTCTGTGGGAGAAAAATGTGTCAGGATGCTTCCATAACGATATCCAGCCTTGGAAGCCCTGTGAGGAGTTATATTCTCCTATAGTGTAGGAATCCAGGCAGTGACAATCTCTTCTAGGGAGCAGAAAGATCAACTGCTTCCCTCCCCATCTCAATTAAGGCTATCAGAACATTTGATTCTGATTTGTTAGGATAACTAGAAAATCATATTTGCTCAGGAAGAACCCTCAACAGGGAATGAATTAGTCTAAATTTTATATTGCCTTTTCTCTTTGTAGTTGGAAACACCTTTTTTCCAGTGGTATATGCTGTTGCATCTAGTGAGGAATACAGAGCCAGTGCTAGGGTCTTTATGTTATCCTAGTTGGAGTGCTTTTGCTGGGCTAGTAGTCAATTTTGTAAGATAGCTAGAGGTTCTACAGTGGTGTGTGATGTCACTCACTATACGAGTCAAGGAGCAAATGGTATGAGAGTCACTCTTTTGTGTAACAGATGCTGAGAAATGCAATCTCATTTAAAAAGTTTCTCTTAGCTGATGATTTTTTAAATAATTATCTATCTCTGTTAATAAGCTAATCTTACTTTTTAAAAAGTTATTAGCACTTTATCCACATCATATAATTCAATAAATCAGTCATATCAAAAGAGCTAATATTACTTTTTACTTAAATTCAAACATCTAATTTTTCTTTAAGTATTTGAATAAATCATTTCTGCAAGTGAGTACTAGATAATATAGTTGGCTGTCTATTTTATCTGCATTATCTATCTACCAACCTACCTACTTGTCTGTCCGTGTGTCCACCCACCCACCCATCCACCCATCCATCTATTTGACTATCAGTCCTGGTTTCTACAGTTAAGTGCTCATCTGCTAACCAAAATACCCCTCAGCATCTATGTGGGAGAAAGGCATGGTGATGTACCTGTAAAAATTCAAATCTATTTGGACTCATAGTGACCTTGCAGGACAGAATAGAACTGTTCCATAGGGTTTCCAAAGCTGTACATCTTTAAGGAAGCAAACTGCTTCACCTTTTTCTCATGGAGTTACTGGTGAGTTCAAACTGTTAACTCTTGGCTTAGCAGCACAAATGCTCAAGCCAGTATACCACCACGGCTCTATCCTGTAAAGATAAGTGTAGAAACAACCTAGAAAACTTTATTGGGTAGTTCTCTTTTGTCACATGGATTGCTATG